ATACCTTTTCTTATAGGACAGGTCTGCTAGCAACAAAATCTCTCTGCTTTTATCTGGGAACGTCTTAATTTCTTTTTCATTTTTAAAAAATAGTTTTGCTGGATGTAGAATTCTTGGTTGACAGGCTTTTTTCTTTCAGCATTTCAACATGTCATCCCACTGCCTTCTAGCTTCCATGGTTTCTGATGAGCAATTGGGTGTTAATCTTATTGAGAATCCCCTGTATGTAACAAGTTGCTTCTCTCTTGCTTCTTTAAAGGTTATCTCTTCATCTTTGGAATTCAACAGTTTGATTATAATGTATCTTGTTGTATATCTCTGTGAGATTACCCTACTTGGAGTTCATTGAGCTTCTAGGGTATGTAGGGTTTGGGGGTTGTTGTTGTTGTTGTTGTTTTTTAATCAAATTTGTGAAGTTTGGGGCCATTATTTTTTCAAATATTCTTTCCCCTATCTCTTTCTCCTAGGAATTTCAAAATGCATGTGTTGGTATACTTGCTGGTGTCCTAGAACTCCCATAGTCTCTGTTCTTTTTTTATTATTCCTATTTCTTTCTGCTCTTCTGACTGAATAATTCCAATTGCTCTGTCTTCAAATTTGCTAATTATTCATTCTGCCTGTTCAAATCTGCTGTTGAACCACTGTAGTAAATTCTTCATTTCAGCTACTGTACTTTTCAGCTTCAGAATTTCTTTTTGGTTCTGTTTTATAATTTCTATATTTATTGATACTCTGTACTTGTTCATACATAATTCTCCTGGTTTTCATTAGTTCTTTGTCTATGGTTTCCTTTAGCAATTTGAGTATATTTAAGACGGTTTATTTATAGTCTTTGTCTAGTAAGTCCAACATCTGGGCTTCTTCTGGGACAGTTTCTGCCAATTCTTTTGTTCCTGTGAATGTGACATATTCTCATGTTTCTTTATAATTTTTGTTGAAAACTAGGAATGTTAAAATGTGTTAACTCTGGAAATCACAGTTTCCTTCTCCTCGGGATTTTCTATTGTTGTTTGCCAGTGGCTGCAGTAATCCATTTGTTTAGTGACTTTTCCAAAGTCTTTTTGTAGAGATTGTATTCTTTGTTATGTGTCATCACTTAAGTCTCTGTTCCATTATCTCAGCAGTCAATGATTGGCACAATAGAAATTTCTTTAAACACTAGGAGCCAAAAGTTAAACATACTTCCCTGATCTTTGTAACCTGGCTCTGAGCTAGTGCATTCCTTCTTCACTAAACCAAACCACCTACAACCCTTCCTTAGTCTTCACCTCCTGCTTGTATGGATCCTACAGATCCTCCATAGGTGCAAGCTTAGGGTCCTCTCTTGTCTTTTCTGAACATGTGCCTAGCCCTATACATACACATTCCACTCCAGCTTCCTAATTACATGTGAAAGCCCTTTCAATCACTTATTCCCCCAAGAAACTTCCTCCTCAGCCTCTTCCTTTTCAGATTTTTGGGTATATCTGAAGCTTTACCCATCTATTGTCTCTTGCCCCAGATGGCTACAGATATTGTATGTCTTTAAACTTCCAGAAAATTCTGCTGCAGCCCAGAAAACCACTCCAGCTTGTGGTGGCCAAAAGAAAAGAAAAGCAGCCTCAGTCACTCAGGCAACTGCCAGACAGGTCAAAACACAAACACAGTGTTTTAAGAACAAGGTCTGCATTAGGCCCCTGGCACCAGGAAACCACCAGAAACACTGGTCACTGTTCCCACAGATACTACCATGCTGGGAAATGAGGGATGTTAGGCAGACAAGTAGAAATAGCACATTGTTTTTTACCAAAATTCAGCTGCCTTTTTCTTTATTAAGCACTCTCCTAGTTGCTATAAATTTCTTATTAGATTCCACAGTTCCAAAAAAGTTGATTCTGTCATTTTTTGCCAGCTTAAGTGTTGTTTCATTGGAGAGAATTGATTGTTTGAGCTCCCTACCCTACCATTTCCCATGAAATAATTAGTATATATTCTTTTTTGCCTTCCCTTTTTATTTACATTATTTGTGAAATTCATTCATGTTGTTGCACATAGCCAAAGTTGAACTTATTTTCATTGCTGTAGGATATTCCACTGTATGAATATATTATAATTTATTTATCAATTCTATTGTTGATGAGCAATTTGACTATTTCCAATTTGAGGTAATTATGAGTAATGATGCTGTGAGAATATTTGTACATATTGGGACACCTATGCACATACTTATATTCACTATATACCTAGTAATAGAAGTGCTAGGTTGTAGGATATACGTATATTCAACTTTAATAGATAATGCCAAACAATTTTTCTAGGTGATCATGCCAATTGATGCTTCAACCAGCAGTGATATGAATTTTAGTTTCTCCATATCCTTGCCAGCATTTGGTGTTGCCAGGCTTTTTAATTTGAGCCATTCTGGCGGGTGTGGAGTGGTATCACATCTTTGATTACTAATAGAAGAGCACCTGTTTGCTCTGTTTTACTATGTGATTTTTCTTTTCCACTTTATGACCTTGTAGAGTACACAATGCACTCAAGTTCATGTCCTTAATAAGAGGGGCCATGTGCATTTCATAAATTTCAGCTTATTCCCAATGTGATAATGAGCAAATACTACAGTGATTTCTCAACCTTTGCATGTTTTAAATGATAGAAATATAAATCTGATTAATCTTTCTCAAATGCTAATTTCATCACATCATTTGCCTGAACAACAAAGCAAATCTTCCTCCTGCCGTCATTTCAAATCCTCAGGCTTTCCCTTTCCATTTCTACATTTATTAACCTTTATTTGAGAGTCCCCTGGGAGTTACAGTCAAGTCTTTCCATCTTAGCCTTCCTTCCTTGCCCTTCTCCAACTATGCCCCCTCTGCTGGATCCAAGCTTGCCCACTCATTTCGCCCTCAGGACTTCCCCTAATGAACTCTACCTACTTTGGATCCCTGTGATCACACCATTTTTCTACCTCCCTTCAATAGCAACACACTCATGGTATGTCATATACAGCTATACCACTAATTAAATCCTCGTTACGGAGAGAGAAAGAGAAACTGTCTAACTGTTATTTTGCTTTAATGGGACTGTTATTAAAAAGGATATCATTTGGAACTTAGATATTTTCACATAATACATGTTTGTAATGGTATTTCTCATCATGGTAGAATATTACCTGTATATCATTTGGCAATTGAGAAAGTTGTTTTTTTCACTTATGTATATTATGTCTCTATCACAACCTATATAAGAATTTATTATAGATATAAATTTCTCTTACAAAAGGGCAACTTTTGAGGGCATCTCCTGTCTCTGCAGTTTCTCAAAATAACCAGTTCAAAATAATCCTTATGCCAAAAAGATGATGTTTTTTTGCTATTGAGTTGTATGAGTTGCTTATATATTGTGCATATTAACGTCTTATCAGATATATGATTGGCAAATATATTCAGCACAAGCTTCTTTAAACTTTATCTCCCATATCTGCCACTTACTTACATCCGTGCTCACCCTCCTTATTGCCAATTCCATTGACTGGTCCTTCTTGGCCACCAGGCACCACTTGACAGTAATGACTATTTTCTTCTTGAAACTTGCTCTTCTTTGGCTCCCATGATGTCAGTCTCTTCTGATTCTCCTCTGTGTTTCTTGGCTGTTCTGACTCAGTCCTCTGCCTTCCCTCTCCATGTTGATGCTCTTTCATGCTCTGCTGTTAGCCCTTTCCTATTTACATCTCTGAGAGATTTTACCTACACCTCTGGCTTTCCTCATCACCNTACGGAGAGAGAAAGAGAAACTGTCTAACTGTTATTTTGTTTTAATGGGACTGTTATTAAAAAGGATATCATTTGGAACTTAGATATTTTCACATAATACATGTTTGTAATGGTATTTCTCATCATGGTAGAATATTACCTGTATATCATTTGGCAATTGAGAAAGTTGTTTTTTTCACTTATGTATATTATGTCTCTATCACAACCTATATAAGAATTTATTATAGATATAAATTTCTCTTACAAAAGGGCAACTTTTGAGGGCATCTCCTGTCTCTGCAGTTTCTCAAAATAACCAGTTCAAAATAATCCTTATGCCAATAATCCTTTTTTTGCTATTGAGTTGTATGAGTTGCTTATATATTGTGCATATTAACATCTTATCAGATATATGATTGGCAAATATATTCAGCACAAGCTTCTTTAAACTTTATCTCCCATATCTGCCACTTACTTACATCTGTGCTCACCCTCCTTATTGCCAATTCCATTGACTGGTCCTTCTTGGCCACCAGGCACCACTTGACAGTAATGACTATTTTCTTCTTGAAACTTGCTCTTCTTCGGCTCCCATGATGTCAGTCTCTTCTGATTCTCCTCTGTGTTTCTTGGCTGTTCTGACTCAGTCCTCTGCCTTCCCTTTCCATGTTGATGCTCTTTCATGCTCTGCTGTCAGCCCTTTCCTATTTACATCTCTGAGAGATTTTACCTACACCTCTGGCTTTCCTCATCACCTATGCTGATGACTTAAACTGTCTCACTCCTGCCCTCTCCTGAGTACCAGAATATGCTACTCAACTCAACATGTAAAGATGATGTTTTTTTGCTATTGAGTTGTATGAGTTGCTTATATATTGTGCATATTAACGTCTTATCAGATATATGATTGGCAAATATATTCAGCACAAGCTTCTTTAAACTTTATCTCCCATATCTGCCACTTACTTACATCCGTGCTCACCCTCCTTATTGCCAATTCCATTGACTGGTCCTTCTTGGCCACCAGGCACCACTTGACAGTAATGACTATTTTCTTCTTGAAACTTGCTCTTCTTTGGCTCCCATGATGTCAGTCTCTTCTGATTCTCCTCTGTGTTTCTTGGCTGTTCTGACTCAGTCCTCTGCCTTCCCTCTCCATGTTGATGCTCTTTCATGCTCTGCTGTTAGCCCTTTCCTATTTACATCTCTGAGAGATTTTACCTACACCTCTGGCTTTCCTCATCACCTATGCTGATGACTTAAACTGTCTCACTCCTGCCCTCTCCTGAGTACCAGAATATGCTACTCAACTCAACATGTCACCAAAATGAGCTCACTAACTTCCCAGCCATCCAAATCTGCCCCTCTTCCTGTGTCCTTAAGCTCAGCTGAAAGCATAAGTTCCATTCAGTCACCCTGTAGAAACTGGGGAATTATTCCTGTCTCTTCCATCTTCCTAATTTACTCACACCCAGTCAGAGTCCTGGTCCTGCCTCTTTTAACTCTTTCGCATCTCTCATGTCCATTCCCCCCTCTACATCTGCATTAAAACCACCTGACTTTGAACTCTCATCATCTCTCTCCTGGACTATTGCAATTGTCTCCAAACAAGGTCTCCCTAGTCTCAGCTTCTACCATCCTTCTCCACATGTTACCAAAGTAATCATTCTAAGGGGCAAATATTGACTTGTTCTTCCTCAGCCTGGGATCCAACTTGGAAACCCTGCATTGGGAAGCAATGTTTGGGATGTAAATCTTCTTGAATTTGAGGGGAAGGAGAGTGGTGGATTGGTCAGTGTTCAGCCAAGAAAATTAAAAACTATTCTAGGTATTTCAAACAGAGGGAATTTAATACAGGGAAGTGGTCACACAAGTGTCAGAGGATCTGAGGACTCAGAAGACAGCAAGGCAATCTAGGGATTAGCACAAAGAAGGCAGAGTTAGTGGAGGGTACTGTGTGAGGAGGTAAGAGTTAAGGTATAATGTCCTCCAAACTGAGAAGATACTTTGAGACCAAAGAAGGAAGCAGGCAAGTCCATATAGGATGCAAAGATATTTATTACAGTGGCTACTTACATACAGGAAAGTCGCATGCAGTGAAGAATTGGACACTACAGCAGATGAGAATTCTCTCTCTCTCTCTCAGACTTGTGGGTAAGGCTTATATAGCATAGCTTCAAAGAAATAGCTTAGGAAAAATAAGTTTCTTGTAATCTATGAAGCAGAGAGCTTGTGATGCTTGTGTGTAGACTAGGTGATGCCAGGAGTTGCGGTAAGTCACCTAGTCCCTAATCCCTATGCTCTTGTTATGCTTACCCTAAGGTTAATCTATAACTGGTCAGTGAAATAAAGGAATGAGGTTAAACAGGAGTCAACATAGCAGGCAGGACACAAGATGGCTCTTTTTAGTCCGTTTTGTGTTGCTATAACAGAATACCTGTGACTGGGTAATTTATAAAGAAAAGAGGTTTATTTGGCTTATGACTCTAGGACAGTTGCCTCTGGCATGGGCCTCAGGCTGCTTCTACTCATGGCAGAAAGTGGCAGGCTGCTGGTGGGTATGAGCAGCTCACATGGTGAGAGGAAGCAAGAGAAAGAGAGAGAGAGAGAGAGGAGGT